AATTTGTCAAGCCCTGTGCTAAAGAGTGTAAGTCTAGCAACAACCTCAAATATATGTGTATGTACTGAAAACTGCACATACAGACTTCCAGCAAGGTTGGATTAACCTTGTAAAAATAAGATCACTCCCTTCTGAAAGAGGTCCCTATTTTGGAACAAGACTCCAAAAGACCTGGAATTGGTTGACCAACGCTGGTCTCTCAAAGAAACTCTAAAGGCATCCAAACCACTTCATCTCAATGCCATGGGCAACCAGTTTTCACCCTGCAGCTGAAAACACTTCTGTTCTACAGACTGTCAGCATCATAGCCACTAGAGGCATTTCCATCTCTCAGAGATATCTGATTGGTGCAGCACAGCGCTTTGACACACGTGTACACTAGCCACACAACGCTTTCCTGACCAGAGCACAATAGCAATAGGAACACACATTTATATTATAAACACAGTGTTGCTTTAAAGGCAGTAAAAGTTAACATTTGTGTTATACATGAGGCCACCAAGACCCAAGCAAAGTACGCAAGATACCATCACGTGAAGAACGCAAACCAGGCATGGCAATGTATTTTGCCAATCCTCAGCCCATCAGAAGAAACACAAATACAAAGGTAACAGCATTTTACAAACTGAATTGAGTAAAAAGGAATCAAGTGACCACTCCAATTTTAGATTCTATTTTGAAAATACTACTGAACTTTGACCTAAAACCGTTACATCCTCAAAAGTCACAGTTTTCTACAGTGAAATATACTCGAAAAGAAAAATTGAAGGTAACCAAGTTAGGTAACCACTCTATCAAACATATTAAAGGGCAGTCACCACATTCGTCAGTCAGCTGACACTAACAGCCAAAGTATAAATAGGCACAAATACATACTGCCAAGGGGTATAAGAATGTCCATTTTAGGGATATGAGGAAATTATTTTTCCATAAGGAATACACTGTATTCAAGTATTTATAAAGAATCTCTAACTATGTGTAAAAGGTACATTAACACAAAATTGTTTATAAAGTGTCATCTTGTTCGGTTTTCATGCAATTAAGTTGTGATAAATTCAGTCAAAAATAGTTAACGATGACCAGGCTCAAAAATGACATTCAACAGCCATGCCCTGTCATATTTCCATACTTTAATAGGAAAGATAAAGCATTTAAAAATAACCAAATAAGGCAAGGCAGTCCATAGAACACTAAGCCCAAACAGCTTTCCCAAGAGATTTTATTACAAGACACAGTACTATTAAATTTAGGGACAGGACTGCTATGAGTTGATTACTCAAATTATGCTGGGACCTGCGTGTCCATTACACTGTATTTTACTGCTGCAACTAATAAACAGCTTTGAGAACCAATAAATGTAGGGACAGAAACATTACATGGCCCAATATCCAGCCAATTTCATGTTAAATAGGAATTGTCACTGTTTTGAAAGCAAGCCCTCCAAGCTCCAGGAAAAACAAATGAATCACATCCTTGGGTGAAGAACACGGCAGAAACAGGTATTCACAACATTGTTGGCTGTAATGGTGCATGTACCCTTGTTCATTCCAACATGAGAAGGAGAGATGCTCACAAAGTGTAAAGACTGGTAGTCAGAAGCTATAATTCAGACTATGCAGCACTGTATTCAACGTGTTGAAGATTGAAAAATTATTCAACACCAGTAAAATAAGCAAATGCTTAAAGTGTTACTTCAAGCACCATAACTACTATCACCAACTATAATGGTTATAATGTAAAAAGTTGCAACAGTTTGCCACTTTTATCTTATTTTATGCTTTTGTTTTATTTCTGGAATAAATTATTACTTTTGAAGTAGTTATTGTTCCTGAATCATCCTTCTCATCAACTGGAGTGGGATTTGGATCTCCCTTAAGGATCCTATTGATATCCAGACCAGAGCCAGGTTACTTTATGGCTCTGCCTTTGAGAGTGTGCTATTTAAAGAGATAGTAGCATATATTGTTCTATCAGTATTACACTATTGTATCTCCCTCTGTTTCTATGTGGCTGAAATATTGAAGAGAGGGAAGTATCTATAGTATTTGTTGTTCACAGCTCCACTTTTTTGTTGTGTATTATTACTGTATTTGTGAAGGTGATACCTCACTGGTGTTTAGAGCGGTTATTACTTTGGGATATACTTGTCTATGTGTGTATATTGTCATGGTACTTGGATACAATACTTTAATATGGTCGTAACAGCAGAGAGGGTAACTGCTTTGCTTTTGCTATTTACTGGTAAAAACTTAAACCCTTAAGGACATAGACAATTTTACAAGTTCAAAACAAAATGGAAACAAATCCTAGAATTTGCACTATATGTCTGTTCAACCGTAACTTACCTTTTTCATATTAAGTGCACCCACACATATCATTATGATCAGGAGTAATATGGCTTTCATTTACATCAAATATTTAGATATAAAATTAATTTAATATGAAAAAATTTAAAAAATAAAAACAATTTTTGAAAGTTACAGGATCAAATAAGTGCTTTCCCTTTTCTGGATTTTACACACTGAAATTTGCCAGATTGGTTATGTTGCCCTTGTGACTGTATGGCAGTCTAGGAATGAGAATTACCCCCATCATGGCATACTATTTGCAAAATTAGACAACACAAGGTATTCAGAATGGGATATCTCCAGTCTTTCTTAGTAGCTACTACATCACAAAGTAAGTGTTTAGATTTTATTTTTTTACATTTCAAAAACTGCCTTCCTCGTTTATAATCATCAGCATAAGTTTTCCGTTTTCAAAACACTTATTTGTGTTCAGCGAACTCTCACGAGCACAACAGTATCCTGATGTGCAGGTTTTTGGAAAGTTACAAAGTTAAATATAGGGCTTGCAAATTAAATTCTCTGGGATTTCTGCTTAGGTTGTCAGGCAGGTCCATCAAACTGTAATTAACAAAGTCACATAATTAGGTAAAAAAAAAAAAAAAAATACACATAATTCTATGTTTTGAGATAGATATTCATAATGCATTTAAAATTACTTTATTTTATATATAATTTAATTTTAAATGTAAAAAAATAATAATAGATATATATCTCATTGTGCAGGAAGAGTCTGAGATGGTCAATTCTGATGAGCTCAGTCAAGGAGGCAGAGCCAAATGCCACACTGGCCAATCAGCACACCCTCAGAGATGCATTGAATCAATTAATCTCTTTGAGGAAAGTTGAAAGGCTCCATGTAGAGGATGGAGACGCTGAATGTCAGTGCTGCACACTGTGCAGCACTGCCCCAGGTAGCACCTCTAGTAGTCACCTGAGGAATGGCGACCGGAAGAGTCCATACGAAGCCTACCAGACAGGGCTTCATTTCACACTTTACACAAGGACTTGCAGCAAAACACCAGAGGGAAGCACGGATTAAATATATGCGTGGACAATCACTTCAGGGACACTATAGAGTTAATATAAAAGTGTTCACCCAACATCATAATATATATATATATATATATATATATATATATATATATATATATATATATATATATATATATATATATATATATATATATATATATATATATTATTCCTTTAAACTAATTACCTATCCAGAGCAATCACTCGAACAACCTGCATCAACTGATCACATCAAAACCTAAATGCCACTTCATGTTCAAGTAGTGACAACACAATGATCACAAAGCCCTTTTTCGTATCTTCACAATTCAAATTGCCAATAATTTAACAAGTATATTCCTCAACACGAACAAGAGTTCAGAGTGTCAAGAAATATTTGATATGCAAACGGACAGATTTCCTTGTTCCATAAAGTGTAATTAAAGTTGCGCAATATGGTCAGTCTGGAAAAAGAGAAATATGTACTACGATATTTACAGAGGGGGGAGAGATTTATTTGTGGTCAGTAATAGAGACTGTGAAATACCTTGAGCTTGGAGCAAGTCTGTGTGGGTGTGCCGAAACCAACATAAGGGTAGGCCTGTAATAAAGACTATTGTATACCTCGGATTTACAACGTCCTAACTTTTTAATAATGTGAACAGGTGTATCGATACTGGAGGCAGCTGATGCAGCCCCTATTCTGAATAAGTGCCCAGAGTAAGAGGTAGGGTCCCATTCCAATGTAATGCACAGAGTTCTTATATAGAACATGAACTTGGAAGTAGCGAGGGGACTGCCTAGCAGAGTAAAAAAACTGACCTAGAGTAACCTAGTGTAAATGTCTAAAACTTTGACCGGGCACCAGTGATTCTCCGTCGGGTAGAAAAGCACTTCTAGCAGATGGCCCAATTGCTTAGCTTTGGAATGCCTGGGCGATAAAATATAGTGAATGTTCACCTGTATTAAGTCTTTAAAAATGAGGCACAAATGTGTCTTATTGGGTTGCCATCATGAACTCCCTAGTAGGGATCGACCGATTATCGGTTTTACCGATATAATTGGCCGATATTCTGTATTTTCGACAATATCGGTTAATTCAGATACCGATAATACCCCCTAGGACCGCCAGGCTCATTACAAGCCTGGCGGTTCTGGGGGGGGGGAGGCGGGCATCAAGCGCTTACTCACCTCCCAGCAGCTCCTCCAGCTCCCCAGTGTAACTCTCGCGAGACCCGCGGCCGTCAGAGCGTTGCCATTTGTTACCACGCTGGCCGCCGCCCCACCCCCCCCCAGCTCAGCCAATACCACTGGACCACCAGGGACTGCTATATCCCCCCTACCTGACCATGTAACAAGCAGGGAGGGGGGACAACAAAAATAAATTATATAAAAAAAAAAATATGTAATAAAAAATGCCCCCTCACACACACACACCCCATTATATACACATACACTACACAAACACACGGTGTGTGTGTATATATAATGCAGTGTGTGTAGTGTGTTTATATAATTCACACTACACAAACACACTGCATTATATACACACACTACACAAACACTGTATATAATGCAGTGTGTGTAGTGTGTTTATATAATTCACACTACACAAACACACTGCATTATATACATACACTATACAAACACACACACTGCATTATATACACATACTATACAAACACTATATATAATGCAGTGTGTGTATAATGCAGTGTGTAGTGTGTATATAATGCAGTGTGTATATATAATGCACACTACACAAACACACTGCATTATATACACACTATACAAACACACACTTCATTCATTATATACACACACACTGCATCCACTACACACACTGCATAAACACATACAGCTCCCCTGTCTAAACACACTGCATCCACTACACGTGGCATGTATATTTTGTGCATTTACCTTTAGAAATAGTTTTTATTTTCCAAAATGGTAAATGTACAGAATATCGGCAAATTATATCGACTATCGGCCTGAAAGTTCACAGAATATCGTATCGGCTCTAAAAAAAATCAATATCGGTCGATCCCTACTCCCTAGGCCTCAAGACCCATAGAATGCCAAGTATAGTGGGGGGTTTTAAGACCAAATTTGTATGAGGGTCAAATGGTTGTGTGTACAGCATGTCCGATAAAGCCCGGAATCTTTTCCCCCATCTATAGGTAGACATTTGTTTAGTGTGGTGATCCAATTTATTGACCATGATGTGGTGTTGTACTCCAAATAGATAGAGTTTGTGTTGTATGAAAGTTTGTGGCAAATGCTACCATGATTTAAATCGAATAATCGTGAATGTTAAATTCTACAGTGAACCACTTAAAAAGGACCATAGCTCTATTATAGGTTTTCCTAGTGTTTACGGATAATGCTGCCTGTGCCAGAGATTCCCTTTGAGACCTAAAACATAAAATTGGTAAAAGCCACCTAAGTACTGTATTGTGAGTGTTTTCTTAATAATGCTGACAGTTATTCTTTGTGACCGGGACCCGAGCATGCTAGAAAATAAAGAATTTGTTACCATTTTCCCAAAGGAATTCCCGTGGTGATGCCATTATATTTGGAGTGGTAGTAGCAGAAGAAAAGGAGGAAGTTGAACAAACGTGACTGTGACTAAACTAGAGACCAGCAGACAGAACAAGATCGTATATGATCAGGTAGTGAAAGTTAAGATAAGATCGTATGATGGATTGGAAGAGTAAAGCGCTGTAGTGTTTATGCGTGCTTTGAGTGCCCCTTTAATAGTGCTGTCATTGCAGACGTTTTAGAAATACTCTTCATAACACCTTGATAGGTTTTTCAGCCTCACTCGCTTTTAGCGGTACTTAAAGTAGGAACGAGAGCTTGTCATGGAGAATGATTCGTTTCAATGCCTCTCTATGAGAAGCGAGTATGGGGGTTACAATGCCTATGAGATGGAGATATATATCTCTATATCTATCAATTTATGGTTATTAGCATGTTGCTTTAAAATAGTCCAAGTTGGTATAAATAAAAAAATAAAATGTTTACAGAAAAACAGCTGTCTAAACCATAATAAGATAAACCAGCTCAACAGCAATTTGAGGCATGTTTATTATTCCAAAGTTACAGGCATCCAATTGAATTGCAGGTCCCAATTTGTGTGAAAATCTTCCCCATATCTACTTCTCCAAACCAAGGACAGGTCGGGTGTCCACCCCTTTATGCCATGCAAGACAACAGGATTCAGTTTATCGCTCAGAACATTAAAATGAACTTATGGGTGCTGTCATTCCAGCACAGCTCTAATGAGCCTCAACCTTCTCAGAGGTTTGTACAGAGCATTATACACCATTTAATGACATGTTTGCACCTTCTGTGTATTAGAAACATTAGTAAACAGTAACTGTGTGTATTAGCACTGTGCAGCCTACCTGGATTCTCATTAGCCCATTACATACAATTGTTCCTGCTGCATTCCCCTAAGCCTGTGCTGTACACTGCAATAACACACATCTCATTTCCCCGATTGTGGACAAACCAGAAAAACAAGGAAACTATATAGGGAAATTAGAAAAACTAGGTACACTGCCAAAAAAAGAATACCAGCGGTACATTTTAAATAAACCCCCTCATAAAACAAGGAAATAATCTGTGTATAGGTAGTTTTCTTGCAAAAATTAGAAGTGGGAGGAAGCGATAGTCCCACGTCTGTTCCATCTATGCCCTATATAATATATAAATGTTATTGTACCCATGGTGATATTTACATCATGTCTGGAAGATGTTCAATTATGAACCAAATGGCAATTCTACCTACTTCTCAATTATAGGAGCATACAATACTTTATCAAATATTTTTTTAAATAAACATTTCAGTAACTTGACTTCAAACATATAAAGTCTGGCAGCAACAATGCCAAGCATCAGTGGAAAAAAATCATTTCAGCTTTATAAAAAAAAATTGTAAACATTTTTATTAGATCTTTACATATTTATACTTGCATCTAACTCACTTCAAATATGCTATACGAACAGAACTATATGGAGTGCCTTAACCAACAGTCTCAAACAGACTAACTCCCAGAAAAAAATTCCAGGGCTCCAAGCTTTCTTTATTATTCTTACACAACACCAATCCAACGTCTACCCAGGCTTCACAAAAGTCCTTTGTTTTCATTGACATTTTTATCATAAGCAGCAATGTTACCTCTAATAAAACACAAAGTAAGACAATATCATCCCAGTCGGAACAAAAACAAACAGCCAAAAGCAAATCCTATTACTACGTACAGCTCAGAGCCCCTTACAAATGTACACAATATCCTGAATAATCTCATCCCTTCCCATACCTAGACTACTTTTAGTTCAGCGCAAAATTTACTGTTAACAGTATCTGTAGCACCCTAGTGATCTAAATTTCCTATAAAATTACCCACACCCTACCATGATCACCTCAAGAGCCCAATCTGCTTTGTACACCTTAGGTACATAGACCCCCTTGATTGCCGATTGCTGTGAAGTTTATCCAATCCCCTACCCCTTAAGAAGATACTGCTGTCCTAAACCTAGATGAAAAATAAAGAGAATGAACAGAGCTCCTTCTATAGCACCCCCCTTTTTATTAACAATCCCAAAATAAGCAGTTTCTACAATGTGTTTATCAAGGCGGCATTGATTGTGTACCCCTGCACAACATATGTTGCGCCTCCCCCTCCCATGTACAGTCCAGGTATCCATGTTTGGATTGTCTCTCTCTGTCTATTTAAGTCAGCACTTCATAAGACACGTCAATTCACCTGAAGCTATCGATAACCCTGTAAAATTGCCCCACTCATGGCAATTCCCTGGCGGTTCACCCCAGCCCACCTCAAGTGCCAGGCTGTGTTAGGGGGGACACTCACCGAGTGCCAGGCTGTGTTAGGGGGGACACTCACCGAGTGCCAGGCTGTGTTAGGGGGGACACTCACCGAGTGCCAGGCTGTGTTAGGGAGGACACTCACCGAGTGCCAGGCTGTGTTAGGGAGGACACTCACCGAGTGCCAGGTTTGTAAAGCTTAGGGAGGACACCACCGAAAGTGCTGTGCCTGTAGCTAGGGAGGACACCACCGAAAGCCAGGCTGTAGTTAGGGAGGACACTCCACCGAGTGCCAGGGCCAGGTGTTAGGGAGGACACCTCACCCCAGAGCCAGGCTGTAAAGCTAGGGAGGACACCACCGAAAGTGCCAGGCTGGGGTTAGGGAGGACACCCACCGAAAGTGCCAGGCTGTGTTAGGAGGACACCCACCGAAAGGAAGCTGTGTTAGGGGGACACTCACCGAGTGCCGTGGCTGTGTTAGGGGACACTCCACCGTGAAAGTGCCAGGCTGTGCTAGAGGACACCCACCGAAAGTGGCCAAAGGAGGACACTCACCGAGTGCCAGGCTGTGTTAGGGGGGACACTCACCGAGTGCCAGGCTGTGTTAGGGGGGACACTCACCGAGTGCCAGGCTGTGTTAGGGAGGACACTCACCGAGTGCCAGGCTGTGTTAGGGAGGACACTCACCGAGTGCCAGGCTGTGTTAGGGAGGACACTCACCGAGTGCCAGGCTGTGTTAGGGAGGACACTCACCGAGTGCCAGGCTGTGTTAGGGAGGACACTCACCGAGTGCCAGGCTGTGTTAGGGGGACACTCACCGAGTGCCAGGCTGTGTTAGGGGGACACTCACTGAGTGCCAGGCTGTGTTAGGACACTCACTGAGTGCCAGGCTGTGTTAGGAGGACACTCACTGAGTGCCAGGCTGTGTTAGGAGGGACACTCACTGAGTGCCAGGCTGTGTTAGGGAGGACACTCACTGAGTGCCAGGCTGTGTTAGGACACTCACCGAGTGCCAGGCTGTGTTAGGAGGACACTCACTGAGTGCCAGGCTGTGTTAGGAGGGACACTCACTGAGTGCCAGGCTGTGTTAGGGGGACACTCACTGAGTGCCAGGCTGTGTTAGGGGGACACTCACTGAGTGCCAGGCTGTGTTAGGGAGGACACTCACTGAGTGCCAGGCTGTGTTAGGACACTCACCGAGTGCCAGGCTGTGTTAGGAGGACACTCACTGAGTGCCAGGCTGTGTTAGGAGGGACACTCACTGAGTGCCAGGCTGTGTTAGGGGGACACTCACTGAGTGCCAGGCTGTGTTAGGGGGACACTCACTGAGTGCCAGGCTGTGTTAGGAGGACACTCACTGAGTGCCAGGCCCCTCTCTCTCCCTCAGCCCACACCCTCTCCGTCAGTGCGGGCCTCACACCGCCCGATACCGCTGGTTTCCAGGCCGCAGAGCCCCCAGCTCTCCCTGAAGGCCCCCCTGGTCCCGCGGCTCTCCCCCCGGGGTCCCCTGCCCCGCTTACCCTCCAGCAGGCGGCTGATCAGGCTGTCCACGTTCAGCTCTCCGTCCGCCATTTTGCGCTTCACTCAGCACAGCCAAAGAATCCCAGCCGGGCGGAGCTGCGTCACCACACAACTGGGACCACGCCTAGCGGGCGGAGCTTGGATCGGCACAGCCAATTAGAATACGGGGGAGGAGTCAGGAGGCAACACCATGCCCATTATTAGACACACCGCACGGCACGCCTGGGGTGGGAGGAGCCAGCTGCACGGAGAGGACAATGCCGTGACGTCATTCAGTAGAGTAGCTCTGGGCCTCCAGACAGATCCCGCTCTATTCTAGCTGCGCGCGCTCTTTCCCACTGCTCGGCCACGCCCACAA